AAAAAAAAAAAAAAAAAAGGATATTCAATTTTATTCATCTGCAAGAGGCAAAATACTGACCATTCATTGTCCCTTCCAGCCCCACCATCTCAAATTCTCACTTTATTTTGCTTGTCAAGTATAGACAGGCAGGCAGCTAAGTTCATCTAACCCACTGCTTACCAGCATTTGTTTTCTTTTCTAGTTCTGTCTTTGTCTGATCTAAGATCATATCTAATTGAGAAAGATGCAATGCTTTGTTTTCTCCATCTCGTTTTAAGTGCATTATTTCTTTTTCCATTTTAGACAGCTCTTCTTTGTACTGATCCATCTCAAGCTTTACTTGCCTAATTAAAGACAAACAATAAAACAGGTAATTTGGAAACTTAAAAACCAACTGACTTGTCTCTGACTAAAGAAAGTCTATCAGTTATATATGAACAAATATCAGCATAATGTCTAATCAGAATTTTAAATCACCTATTACATTTTAAAAATTCTCCAACTAAACAACTGTACTTCTTTACACATTACATACCACTAAATATAACTGTATTACCTGGCAATATTTAACAAGGCTAACATTCTTTTCAATCTAACTACATTTAACTTTAGCTTTGTAAGTGTTGAGAACATCCAGGGATAGGAACCTCATTCATCTGTAATTTCTATTATCTGCAACAAAGACAATAAAGAAGCTGAGCAATTATTCATCATAAAGACCATACTATTAATACTCACAGAAGAGCCAAATCAGTTGTTTTTACTCAGAGCTTTATTATTAGTAGTACTATCTTTTTTAGCTTTAAAAGGGACTAGAGATTTCCAGAGTAGTGCAACTTCTCTACTTTACAGATGAAGAAACGGGATGGTTAGGTGAATTGTCTGAGATAATAAAAGTAGTTATTTATAGTGATAGAGTCAGGTTTACTAACTTTCAGTCAGTCCTGAGCTTATTCCAATATGGAAGCTCTTCTATCTATAGACAAATCAACATACTAAGAGGCTGTTTTAAGTCCATTTGTTGGTAATTGCAAAGTAATAATCACTAATTAAATAATTGCTAATGTTATCCTTGATAACAGGAAGAGTTATCAAGTTCATGCTCCTTTGTTTCAACATTTTGTTTCTGTTGTTTTGGTCTTTGAAATTTCCCAAATTGAGTTTGCAAGTAGAAACATTTCTTTTCTAAATTTCTAACAAATTTGGATTTGTTCAAGGGGTTTTAAATTTGAAGTCCATGAGTGAACTTGAGGAAAACCACAAAACTCCTAAAACAATATGCTAAATTATACATGTATAATGAACATGTGTACATACATCTATGTATAGAAAACAATCCATACCTCTTTAGCAGATCCTCAAATATGTTCATGGACCAACTAAGTTAAGAACCACTAGATTAGACAAGTGCTAATGACCCTTTTACAGTTCTAAAATCCCAAGTAAACAATATTTAGCTTGACCAATTAGCTTCTAATATTTCTATCTATAAAATAGATAATTAGAAAAGAATAATCAAAAGATGATGGTATATAGTGCCAAGAGCTGACAGCTTGTCAGCAAAGAAGTTGGGAAAAAATTATAAAAAACACATACAAGAACTTAAAAAGCACAGCAGTTTATAGGTATTTAGTAACAAGCAAACAGAATTCTATATGCCTCAAAGGTGTATCTATATGCCTCCTTAGGGTATCAGTATATTTTAGCATGATATATATATATATATATATATATATATATAACTAATGTATATGATGATAACTCTGAGACACCCAGAGAAGGTAAAAATGCCAAGAAAATGTATATTTTAGAAAATATACTCTAAAATATACTCATCTCATACTCTAACTTCTTTGAGTTCCAGCTTCCTTATTTTAAAAACAGGGATAATAAAACCAGATGATAGGGCTGTTTTGAGGTTAAATAAGTTAATGTGTCTACCTAGCACACAGTCTGGCACACAGAAGGTACTCAATAAATTATAGTTTCCCTTCTTTTTTTGGTGTCGCTGGGTAGGCTCAAAACTAGTTTCCTTTCTTTCTGTCTGAAACTCTGTCTTTAACTCTAAAACAGATCAAAGAAGAAATACAGATATATTTTAACTCTAATACCTTTGGGAGAAAAAAATACAGTTTAAGAAATTATAGTTCCAGGAATGAAATAAATAATAGTGGGAACAGAGAAAACAAAAAAGTCCTCATAATGAAAAGATTTCTTAGAACTAGGGTACATATTTCTTATGAGATTTAATTATTTAGTTCATAAGCTTCCTATCAGTATTTAGGACTTACTTTTCCTACTGAAAGTGCCTATTAGCCATAATCAAGAAGAGTTTTGTTTTATCTAGAAGTCAAAAGAGTGGGGGGTAAAAAGGAACAAGCAGTTACTAGCCCTGCTTCCCTTTTTTTGAGACAAGGTCTTGCTCTGCTGCCCAGGCTACAATACAGTGGCATCATTGTAGCTTACTGTAAAGTCAAACTCCTGGGCTCAAGCGATCCTCCTGCCTCAGCCTCCCAAGTAGCTAGGACTACAGGTGTGCACCACCATGCCCGGCTAATTTTTCTATTTTTGGTAGAGACAGGGTCTTGCTCTTGCTCAGGCTGGTCTCGAACTCCTGACCTCAAGTGATCCTCCTGCCTCGGCCTCTCAGAGTACTAGGATTACAGGTGTGAATTACTTCTTTTTTTTTTTTAAGTGAAGCAGAAAGCAAGATCATCAGTGAGAGCCAGGATGGGGAAAAGTTGTCAGAGTTTTGAAAGAAGAGACAAAGGAGTAAAACAATCTTTTACAAGAGTAAAAAACATTATGATTACCAGGCAGCATTAAGGAAACACTTAAAGTTTGAAGCTAAGAATTTAAAGCGAGACTAGTCAAAATGGTTATATTTTTCTCCAGGCTCTGTAAAGATGCAGGCATGGAGTACTCTGAGTTGGACATACTCAGTGCTGCATAACATAAGTAGAGGGGTAAGTAAGTTGTGGGCATATGCAAATTAGCAATTTTAATGACTAACTAGAATTTAAGCCTGGCAAAGAAAACAGAGAAGGCATCAGGGAATGAGACAGTGGTGAAATCAATGGATTAGAGGTCTTGGTTCGGTCAAAGAATTGTTGGATTTGGGGTTTTAGAGTGAATGAAGCAATAACATAGCAGTAGATACATAATATTCAGATTTTGGAGAAACTGCAGATATTGGAAATAATAAGGTCTAGGGTTTAAACCATGGAAGTGAGTGGCTGAGGTATGTTAGAGATCATGATCATTAGAAGACAGGAATTTTAAAAAATAAGAAGCCAAGGTGTCCAAAGGATCAGCTAGATGTATATTGAAATCCCCAAGAATAACGACAGGAGTGGTGTTAGAGACAGCAACAGTAAGTCAGGTGGTCTATAGGTGCCAGCAACAGAGAGGGATGATATGATCTGATGACATGAGGTTCATGGAGTATAGTAATACACTACCTCATGCCTTGACTCCCCGGGTACAAGAGCTACAGGGAAAAGTTTTTACTTTAGAGGGCTGCAGGGGAAGAAGCAATGTTCTCAGGGGAGTGTCAGGTTTCTTTTACAGCAAGAGAAAAGAAGTAGTGAATATAGGGGCTGTCTCTCAGAATGGACTATGAATTCCAAAGGGCACAGTAGATGTCTTTCAGAAGTTGGGATAGAGTGGGAGAAAGAAACAGAATATATGGAGAGCTTTTTGGGAATTAGTGTGAGAAATGAAAGTTGACCTGTAAATACAGGGCTTCTTGTGGTGTGTGGCATAAACAAGGATAAAGTTATTATATGATTAGTCCTTGTGAACTAAAGGTAGACTACTCTGTTAGTGGGTAAACACCTATCAACAGAAGAAAGTAAGTCTGAAGAACTATGGTCTTAGCCTTAAACATGGAACACCCTCTTGACCCTGTTGAGAGGGTAGAGGACAGCTAGGGAAGCAAGTTGCTACTCTGAGCACAAAGGACCCCTGTCAATGCGGGACCTCTGTCAAAACTTAGATACTATTGATACTGAAATGGAAAGGTAAATAAAACTAACACATTCATATTTTACCTGGCGGAACCAGTAAGCTCAATAACTTTTTGCCTTTTCAAATCTGCTTCATGTGCAGCTGATTCACATTTCTCTTCCATTTTTCTCAATTTTTCAGCTGAACTTTCCCTTTGTTTTTGAAGCTCTTGTTCCAATTTTGATACCTTGTAAAGCAGTTTTCAGTAAGTGTTTTAAATTCAATCACAGCTCAACGTTATTCAGACAAAAGATACCTTTATAAATATGTAGGCTAGCTTATCATCCAGTTTCAACATATATCATAAAATACAAAGTACAAACCAGGAAGTAATGTTTTGAAAATATAAAAGTACAACTTACTTTTTAATAATAAAGATATTTCACATACATATATTTAGTGAAGTAGCCACATTGTAACACTAAAGTGCCATAAAGTATTATAAAAATTTAACAAAATAGTAGTAAATGTTCCCCTTTTTATTGTCTCTATATGAATATGAAATGTTCTTTCTTCTCTTAAGCCATTCCTTTCCTTTTTCACAAATTGGCTTATTCAATGAAGGATTTTTAGATTCCCACACAATCTAAAACATTACAACTTGCATTTGCTCCCATCATAACCATCATAAATTATTCATTCTTCCTCTGTTCTACTATATATTTGATAAAAGAGGTATTTTTCCTCCTATATAAGACAAATTCCTTCATGGGTGTTCCGGATTCAATTCCTATCCAATTTCTCAGGAACCTCATACTACTGACTATCTCTGCTCTCTCCTGTACCTTCAATCTCTCTTTATACTTTTTTTTTTTTTTTTTTTTTTTTGAGACAGGGTCTTACTCTATCACCCTGGCTAGAGTGCAGTGGCATCATCATAGCTCACTGCAACCTCAAACTTCTGGGCTCCAGCAATCCTCCTGCCTCAGCCTCCTAAATAGCTGGAACTACAGAAACATGCCACCATGTCTGGCTAATTTTTCTATTTTTTGTAGAGATGGGTTCTTGCTCTTGCTCAGGCTGGTGTGGAACTCCTGGCCTCAAGTGATCCTCTGGCCTTAGCCTCCCAAAGTGCTAGGATTATAGGATGGGCCACCATGCCCAGCCTTGTACACTGTTCTTAGATATCAGCATTTAAACATGTTCAAGACTTTCCCACTGTAAAAAAAACTTTTCTTCATACCCCTACTTTCCTCTGCCTACCACCGTTCCTTTCCTCTCATTCATAAGCCAACTTCTCAGAGTTTTCTATGCTTGCTGTATCATTGTCTCACTTATTCATTCTTCAACCCATAGCAATCAGGCCATTCCACAGAAACTGTGCAGGCCATTCCATAGAAACTGCGATTATATCACCAGTGCAGTGACCTCTAAGTTGCTAATTCCAATGGACATTTCCCAACCCTCATTGTACTTGGCATTGATTCCAGCAGCCCAGGACACTAATTGTCATTCCTTCCATCACGAAATACTTACTTTGGCTTCCATGTATCACATGCCTCAGGGATTCAAGTCAATCTTCCCTCTTCTCGTTACAAATTCTCCCCCTAGGTAGTAATCTCAGTCACTTATATCTTCAATGAACATTTTTATGACTGTGATCTCAAAGTTAACCTCTTGCCTCTAACCTTAATATCCTCCCTGTTCTTCTAAAATCCCTCACTTAAGAAGTAAATATAGATTATAATCCATTAATATCCAACCCTTCACCTCAAGTTCCAAGAATAGAATTAAAATAGTACCCAGGTAAAAAGGGAAGGGAACCAAGGAAGATCTACCTTCTTAATTATTTTATTTTATTTTTTTACCTTTTTTTAGCCTCCATTTCCTGGTGATGAGATACCTACTTAATTCTTGATTTAACAGCACACACAAAAACAGAAAGAATCTAAAGATGAGTAATAAGCTGAAAGGATCCAAAATGGAACCAATGTACAATGGAGTATCAATGAAAGCAAGAAAGAATATATACTAGAAAAGTTACTCTAAATACTGAAGAAATTTTTAGATAAAAACTTCTATAGACCCTCGAAGAAGTTAAAGAGAAGACAAAATCTTTTAAAACAAAGACCACAAAGAAATAAAATCACCAAATAAAAAACACAAACGGTAGAGTTAAGGGGGAAAAAACAAAAAACAGAAGAAAACCATAAAACCATTATATTAATAATAGAGATATTAATAAAAACGACTTTAAAAGGAATAAGAATCATAATTAATCCTGTGAAAACCAGTCAGTGACAAAGGATTTGGGTGAAATGAAGAAATGCTTCAGGATGAAGCTGTATAGCAGGCATAGTGAGCAATAGGTCTAGACTTACAAAAGGGATGGAGAGCCATAGGAGAGTATCTCTAAAAAAGAAGATACACAATATCTGCCTGATGTATTTAAATGTAGTAAGAGGACAGGCTGAGGATGAATTCAGAATAAGTGAATAAAAGACCATACATAGACAAAAAGTTAAGGTGTAGTCCATACAAATGACCCTAAATGCAAGGAATGCACAGTAAGATTACAGGTGACTATCATTTTCTAATTTATATATTTCTATAAATTTGACTTTATTTATAAAGAGAAAAACTAAATAAAAATGTGAAATATCTGTCAAAAGAATTCAGATAAATTTGGTAATGAATGAAAGAAAAAAGATTAGATTCTAGTATAAAATTCCCTAGGATTCATTGAAGCAATAATTTATTTTTAGAACTAAGTAGCAGTGATATTTTCCTTTGAGATTTTTCTTTTAGTGCATTACTTTGTGATTTCTTTAGGGAATATCACAGTATGTCCTGATCCAAAAAGGAGAAATCAGAAGGAACAATGATTCAGATAGGTATTATATGTATATCTAAGAAGAAAAAAGAGATTGGATAAAGAAGTCTAAATTATAACTACATTATATGGAATGACAAACATGTAATCACAGTATTAGAGATAAAGATCTGATTGTATAGGAATAGAACTTTATTACACAGCCGGGCGCGGTGGCTCACGCCTGTAATCCTAGCACTCTGGGAGGCCGAGGTGGGTGGATTGTTTGAGCTCCGGAGTTCGAAACCAGCCTGAGCAAGAGCAAGACCCCGTCTCTACTAAAAATAGAAATAAATTAATTGGACAACTAAAAATATATAGAAAAAAATTAGCCGGGCATGGTGGCGCATGTCTGTAGTCCCAGCTCCTTGGGAGGCTGAGGCAGGAGGATCACTTGATCCCAGGAGTTTGAGGTTGCTGTGAGCTAGGCTGACGCCACGGCACTCATTCTAGCCCGGGCAAAAGAGTGAGACTCTGTCTCAAAAAAAACCAAAAAAAACAAAAGAACTTTATTACAATATTAATATAGAATATTTATTATAATGTGAAAACTTGGAGGTTAAACAGCAATTTATACAACTAACCAAAAATCTACTCATGATTTTTAAAATTTCAATTTCATACGAATAAAATTGTATATGGCCAATATTATATACCTGTTTTTCAAGTTTAGTTTGAATATCTTCCAGCTCTCCATTTCTAATTGTCTCTTGTTGCAACATTTGCTGCTGTTGCTGAAGAGTATGCTGTAGAATAACATTTTGCTCAGAGGTCTCTTGAAGACTGTGATTTTTTATCTTTAGCTCTTTTTGTAAACAATATACCTAACAAATAGATATATTTCTCATTACAATGAAATGTTTCAAATAAAAAGCAATAAAATGTCAAAGCTATCTTCCTTATTGGATTATCATCCCCACTTCTTACATGGAACAATTATATTCATGGCTATAGTTTGCCATATGGAAGGCCAGGGTCCATTTTTCTGATGGGGAGATGTATTAAAAGGGCCTACTTATAGGACTGGCTCTCGGCTGGTGTCTGGGAATGTGGCTTTTGAAATATTCTTAAGTGATAAGATTGTTTTGCCTGGCTGGGACAATGAAACATGCTTTCTTTCTGGGAGTCTGGAATTTTGATACCTGCAGGCTGGTCATTGTTCCTATGTGACCAGCTCCCATAAAAACCCTGAGCTTTGAGTCATAAGTAAGTTTCCCTGGGCAGAAACACATGTTGCCACATTTCGCGGCTACAAAAAAGAACATGTTCTGTTTTACCCCTGCCAGAAGGAGGGAAGAACACAGGCAACCATGGATTTCTCTACATTCTAACTGATTCTTTTACCCTTACTAATAATAAACTATAGCCATGAAAACACTGTATAATGTTAGGTGCTATTCATTATATTATTGTTGCTATTATTGCTTTTGTTTATAAAATAATATCCCAGAAAAGTACTCCTGAATATTTGTGCTCCAGAAAGGACATAAAGGAATGACAATACCAACTAAGAAATTTCACTCATTCACTCCAAATATTTAGGACCTGAATATGCTGGTCTCCAAAATTGCTTTAAAAGATAACTTTAAGGTTATCTGGAAGCACATATTAAGAAGGAAAATAAATGCCCCTTTTCCTAGTAACCCAAATTCTAAAATCTGCCAGCAGAAATTATTTTTAAAATAGTATCAACAATGAAGGATAATTTAAAATATATTTTATAATATTCTTTTCTTCCAAAGTAAAAGGAGGATTTAATAAGTGATGATATATCAATATGATTAAAAATGATGTAACCATTTAAAATAATTAAAAAGATAGTAGCAAACACATAAAAATTTATAAAGTTTTAAAAAATTGCATTTCATTAATTCATTAATTATGAAAAATATACATGCAAATAGAAAAATGAAAACTGAAGTATTAGAAAGTGGGTTGTAGATAAATTTTCCTTAAAAGTTTTTATTGTTGCTTATGTAATAAATTTTTTTTAAATGAAGGAAAATAAAGCCATTCCTTTAAAGCAAAGAATGTTTACCATAAATATCATTCCAGAAGAAAGTATTTTAAACTCCTTATAATAAACAGTGGAAAAGAATCACGACTTGCTTCAAACAGCTGAACATTCAGCAGCATCAGCAAGGCCTTTGGGGCCAAATATTCTTTGCTCATGAAGAGAAGTTCTTACATTTCAAATTTCTTTATTATATGATGATGTTATAAACTTGGAGTAACCCTAGATATCACAGGCAACTAACCAATTTCTAATCCTATTATGCTCTTTTCTCATGCTAATCTGTTTTACTTAATTTTCATCTGACCGTATGAAAATAATTTAGTGCAAGTATGTGTCAGTTATCACCTGTTTTCAATGGTCGCTCTTGACAAAACTGCAGATCACACTTCTGCAATGGTTTATTTTAGATAAAACTGACTTGCCTATAACATAGGTTTAAACACTATTTTGTCTTTATTGGAACATCCTGCCTCACACTTTTCTATTCAGAGAAAAAAATGAACAAAATATTAACATAAGACAAAATAGAAGAAAACAAGGTAAGACTTCATCAAAACTCCAAGAAAGTCATATCATATAATAACAAGAAAGTTTTGTTTCAGTAATCTAGCCACTGGCAAAATTTCAAGCACATATATTAAAGTATCTAATGCTAGTTGTATTACAAATATTAATTCACAAAATACAACATGTACCTATATATTGATTTTTTACAGTCCAGCAAGCTAAGAATATCAAATTTATGCTGACATTTCATTGCACTGTCCTTTAACTTGCAGTTGACTTTAGATTAAAAGTAAATACAGAAGAGTTTCTACATTATATTCAGTAATATACTACTATATTCCCAGAGAATTTATTTTATAAAGTCAATAAGAAAGTAGAATTTAGATTATAAAATCTACTTTACACTGAACTTTGTCTAGTATTAATGTGTATCCAAAGTAGAAGCACTCTAATAAATGTTGCTTAAAAATAAAACATAGAAATATGATATGATCCCAACTTCTCAGAATTTAAGTCCATCAAATTAAATAAAGATATTTATCAATGAAGTGATTTTATTGAATAAGTTCTTTATGAAGAAAATATTTAGGCTTATTCATATCTATCTAGTATTTATTTTCTTCTATCATGTTGAAAACATAATTTTGCATCAACACATAACTTTATCATGTTTAAAAGCATTTAAAAAATTTTTCATGTGAAGTTATAATATTTTCCAAAAATTGAGAATCCCAAAGTCAGTATTATTTTAAACATAAATATATTTATTTTGCCATCTGGAAAAGAATACATGCCTGAGGCAAAAATTCAGAGGAATATATATCAGCTTTCTAGGATGGATAATCAACATATAGTTTTCACAACTGGCTAAGTTTCCACCAATATGCTCTAGGGCCACTTAATTATTCAGCTAGCTATATGATTTGGGTATATTCACTGACTTAAAAGATTAAAACACCTTTATAACATCATCTATTATTAACAGAATGGATCCGCTATGAATCAAATCAGATTTTCTGAAACCTAGCTATATATAATGAAAACCTTACAACTCTGCTGTTACAAGGTATTAATTATATTAACCAGCATTAAAAAGTTTTATAAGACATTACTATTTGCTCTAAAGACAAATAAGTCAAAAGTAAATGGTACTTGGATTCTTCTCCATGTTTCTTATCAATATACACGGATAAGTGACAGATGATTTTCTAAGTAAGTAAGCCAATGCATGGGCAGTTGAGCTAATAATTCAGCAGCAATAAATGGGCTTGCAAATCTTTCTAATTTACTTACTCCCTAGTCTGGTTATACATACCTGACTACCACTTCTGATTTCTAATTCAGTTTGAGCCTATATGTATATTTCCAGCTGTTTTGGAAAGTGTTCTAAGTTTATTTTATATGTAAATGCCTGTTATCCACCCTAGTCTTTGATGTTGTTTCTAAGAATGCAAAGTCTAAAGCTCAACAAGCTCTCCTATTGCAAATGCTGTCTACCTCTAGATTCCATCTCTGCCAAGTCCGTTTATGATAGAGTGGAGTGTGGGCAGTAGAATAAATGCCAAAATAATGTATTTTTTATACTATTTTGAAGAAGATCATAGTAAAAAAATGATATTCCTATTTTAAAATGTCAGAATATACATAGTCTAGATGATTTAATTTCTACATACTGGAGTAGTGAATTATATGTCCATCTGTCAAAGATGCTATAAAAACTTTCATAAGGAGAGGTGGAGGGAAGAAGATATGACCTTATAAAATGTAAAGATCTCTTTTTTTTTAAACCCCTAAGGCCATATAATTACATCATACACCTAAGTCTGGAGTGCTGGTCAACTACATAATTGCTCTTAGATCTATCCCTGCTTTCCCCTGATCTGCTCTGTGTATTACAGTAAACTGCACTGCTTAGCCTCCCTTGCCCTCTATATTACAAATAGGTTTGGCCAAAAGGAGTGGCCAAGAGCTGCAGTTCTCCTCTATTGCCCTGATTCCTACTAGACAGATCCTTTCTCTTTGGCTCCACCTCCAGCTTGGCAGCTCTGCTTCTGGACTATGGTCACACCATCTTTTCCTGATATTTCTCTAATCCTAAGGATGGTAGCTGGTCTCTGCTTATCATAATCTCTGAGTTGCTTTAGTATGCCATTTGGCTTCTGCACTCTTCCATCACTGGTGTATCTAATTCTCTGTATAAAATTCCCCCAATTTGAAAGACATATAAGGGCTTCTGTTTTTCTGGCTGATATATTTTCTTTCTGATATATTCAAGTTAACCTTGATTAAGACTTATTGGGAACTATTTCTAAAAATGAATTTAAGGTTAAAATACATAAATTCTAACAAAGAAATAAAGCAATTCTTCACTAAGATTATCCCTTTGAGCAAACATTTAGTCAATGCCTATCATGCTGGAAGTAAAGTGTTACATACTGATGATACAGAGATGAATAAGACAAATAAAGAAAAGTCTTCAATCTAGTATCTGAGACATTTATCTCA